ATTTATATTAAATAATTTCCCTTTTTAGCAAAAAAAAAAAAAAAAGAAAATGAGACTCATACTCTACTGTGAGAATATAATTATGTACAACTAAGAGGACAATTTGTCAGTATGTATCAAAAACCTTTAAAATGTTCATAACCTTTGGCCCAGCAATTCTTTTTAGAATTTATCCTAAAGAAACAAAGAGTTGTGTACTCAAAATAGGTGAACTTTTATGCTGTGTGAATTATATCTCAATAAAGCTCTTTTTTAAAAAGAAAAGAAAAACTACATTTCTCATGGTAGATAGGAGTCTGTCAGAGATACATTATGGTGAGGGTAAGACATTTAGAAAATGCCACATGGAACATGTATACCACCTATTTAAGCATAATGATTAGCCCTAGCCCCTTGTCAAGTTATAACTTGACAAAGGGCTTGAGTCTTGACATGATCACCAGTTCTCTAAATTCACAGGGTCCTGTTTCTGAATATTTAGCCTAATGTAGTATTTGGGAAAGGAGAAATTTATCATACCAGTCCAGGCAGTGACTTAGGAAAGTCAGGTGTTGAATAGTAATTCTGACATCTGTTAACTTTAGGTCACCACTATTGTCTTTGGTAACCTTTATAAGAGACTATGCTGATCTTGGTTATAGATACTTAGGAGGAATTCCAAAGCTGATTGCAAAGCATTTTATAAAACAGATGACCGTGTAAGTGCTTAAAGGCAAATGCCTCCCTAGAACACTTAAATTAGAGTCCCTGAGATTGTGGTTAGGGCAACACCTTTAGAAAACGCCACACAGCATATATGCATGACCTGTTTAAGCATAACAGTTAGTTACAGCCCCTTGTCATAGCTTGAGTCTTGAAATGATCACTGATTTTCTAAATCCACAGGGTCCTGTTTCTGAATGTTTAGCCTAGTGTACTGTGCTACAGGGCATTTGGAGTGATGTGAGCTATTACATTCAAATTCAGATTCCAAATGAGAAAAGAACTCTAGTAGGAAAAGTAAGCCGTCATATTGTACAAAGTTAGAATAAAGATGCACACTTAAAATACATACTTAGATGACAGTTCAGAAAAAAGAAGCTGGTTTAGTGTCTCTAATGCTTAATTAGGAACTCATCTAGGAAGGTGAACCACTGAGTAGCTAAGTCAAATTTTTAATTGAAAAATTGACTTTGGCTTTCTAAGTCTGTCAATTTTCTTTTACTGTTTACATGTAATACTTATTTTTCAAATGTTTAAATTTGTACTCTAGAATTCAGTTGGTGACATTAACATCAAAACTCTATGATTACACATAGAGTTGGAATAGAGCTGGTGGTCAGTTAGAGTTATCACCTATATTGCTCTTTTGTGGTAGTAAATCACATTCACTAAAGATATGAGTAATTTAAGTAACAGTGGGATACCAGAAAAACCTGCTTCCCATCTTGCTTATTGTTGATATCACTTATTTGTCACTTAGCGTATCTACTCAATCTACCAAGTAGATGCAAAAATTAGTGGAAAGGATACCAGGAACCTCAAATTCTTTTAAGTGTGGATTGTAGTTATGGAGTAGAGGAAATTGAAAAAGGACAGTTTTACGTAAGACCACATCTATACAGAGTATTGTACTCATGGATTGAAATCATGGTGCACATGAACCTCAACTTTATAAGCTTAATGACCTGTGAATTCTAAGGAAAGTATGGTTCTGTGTCCTAATGTGGTCTTCAGGTGGAGAGGAGTTGTGTACTCATGAGAATAGCCTGCCTACTCTCACCTTGTTGGTTTGCATACTTTATACACACCTATGGTATCCTGTACCAAATTTCACAAAATTCTTGTAATGAACTTGTGTAACTTAAAAAATTAATTCTCATGATAAGTTTTGCTCTGCTTAAATGTGTCTCTATGATCTTTCTATTTTGGTTGGAATAGGTATGTACAACCATATATAGTTGCAATCAAGATGCTAGGCAGGGGCCGGCCCGGTGGTGCACTGGATAGTGTGCCGCTTGGGAAGTGCGGCGGCGCTCCCGCCCGAGGGTTCGGATCCCACATACAGACCGGTTCCCGCTCACTGGCTGAGTGAGGGGCGGGCGCAGCACCGAGGGTTGCGATCCCCATTGCCGGTCCTGTCCGGTACGGGCGCGACACTGAGGGTTGCAGTCCTTTGCCGGACATGAAAAAAAGACAAAAAGGAAAAGAAAGAAAAAAAAAAAAAAGAAGTGCCATCATCTTAATCTTACTTGTCTGTCCAGATATACTTCTCAGTGACTAAATTGGATTAATAAAAAACTTAATCAAGCTAAGGCACATTTAACATTAAAGTTTTTTCTTAGCGTAATACCATATAATTACCTTTTACAGATGATGCCCTAAATCTGTCCTATGTATATACTATGTGTGTACACAACTCTAAATGTTAATTTTTTGGTGGGTTTTGTATTAATTCCTACCCAAAATGCCTCATGGCTTCCAGTAGATGGCAGCAGCTTAAGTTTTTTTTTTAAAGAGTTTTATTTTTTTTTAAACCAACTATTGGGGCAAAAAATTTTTTAAATTAAAGAAAGGGAAAATTCTGTTTTAGGAGACCAGCATCCTTTCATAAGTAGGAATGTCTTGAAGTATAGAATCAATACAATGAAGTGTATTTTGTTCTTAACAGCTTCTCCTTGCCTTTATCTATTCTTTCTTTTTTTGTCTCACACCTTTACTTTGGCTTGACTTACTGATCCTTGCTGACACACGTGACTGATTTAAGACTTTTCATAAAGCATGAAGGCAGTGTTAAGCCCAAAGACCATGGTATTAGGACTGAATTTTTACCCTGGAGCTTTAAACATTAAATTACTTTATAATAAACTCTTATGATGTGTCTTAACAATTTACTAGTTTTATTGCCTGCCTAATTTTGAAACTACATATTAGATATTTGTCTCTTTCAAGGCAGTAAGAGTCACAATTTGCCTTAAGTTGAATAATATCTATCAGAAACCACTTAACTTCTTAGGGCCACAGGTTCTTCATTCATAAAATGAGAGGGTTGTATTAAATGATCTAAGGCCCATTGTGGCTGTATGACTCTATTAAAATTCTATGGCTATTCGTCATTTCTTTTGGCCAAAAAGCATTGTGTATTCGTTTTGACCAGAGAAATCCTATAATAACCTAATCTGGTAAGAAAGATGATCAGCTAAAATATAAGTTAATAATGAACTTAAGGTATTGCATGTTCACTTTTAAAACTGAGGATTCTTTGGAAGGGGAAGGAAGAAATGCATACTTATTGGAAAAGGGCAAATTGGTAGGAAAAAATTGGCGTTTAAGTTGAAATTAATAACAACATTGTCCCTAGAAAGAAAAATTAAAGCCACAATATTTGCACAGACATTTACCTGTATGGGAATTAATTGTATTAAGTGGAGAAGTTGGAGGGAAGCCAATAGCTGCTGTCCTGGGGTGTTGATGTTTGACTTTGTATACCTGTAGCTTACTCATGACCAGATCTCACTGGGAAAACTTAATTTAAGTAGAGTTGGGAGGGAAGGGGAGACAGAGGAAGGGTTTATTCTTACTGTGGCAGTTATACCTCACATAGTGGCTTTGTCGGGGAGGAATGGTATCATCTCTTAACAGAATACTAGAGGTTTTTTTATTTTTTAATTTTTTTTTCTTTTGTCTTTTTTCGTGTCCGGCAACGGACCGCAACCCTCAGTGTCGCGCCCGTACCGGACCGGGACCAGCAACAGGATCGCAACCCTCGGTGCTGCACCCGCCCCTTGCTCAGCCAGTGAGCGGGAACCGGTCTGTATGTGGGATCCGAACCCTCGGCGGAGCGCCGCCGCGCTCCCAAGCGGCGCACTGTAGCAGTGCACCACCGGGCCGGCCC